ATTCCTGCTACTATTTTGGTCATAGGCAAACACTTTCCAAAGAACTGCAATGCAATTAAAAAAGAACTTTTATACTGGGGCAGACTGCAACAATATTCTCTGAAATGAGAACATTTATGCCAATAGCAATCTATCGTGCCTGTAACTTTCTATGACTCATATTATGAGAGAATTTTCTGTTTCATTATGAGGGGTTTTTTCCTTATTAGTCCAGTTTCTGCTGGATCTTACAGTTTTGCTCATTTGCTTGGCAACCAAGTGATGCTGGAAATAAGCAAACATAGAAATAAAAATTCATTGCAAGTGTGAAAGATGTAGAAAGAGAGATTTGACACAAACAAGGAAAGAATTCTCAACTTCAATGCAAGTTTAAGGAAGCAAACATGAAAATTCATCACACTAAACTACTATTGTATGCTTCTGACAGAAAATAGCCTCCTCCCTCATTCGAAAGTTCTGCTGTTATCCTCACTTGACCCACATCTCAGTAACATCTTTGTCCCACATCCTTTTACCATGTTTCTGCCTCAAAAACAACCCTTTTCTGGCAAACATTCTCTTTGATTGATTGAAGAAGTGTGTTGGGCGGATTGTGCCCCTGTCTTTGGGCTGCAATATGAACTCCATGCAATCTGCCTCTTCCCGTCTTTGTTCCCATTGTTCTAAGATCTCTTTTGACACTACTGAAATGTGAGATAATTCATTTTGGGGACCTGTGGCAGAAAGCATTGTCCTCTTGGAAATTTGGAATCTTCTGCTCAGTCTGCTTGTTAAGGATACTTAGAAGAAACAACTCCAATTGTCACAGAGTTAATCCAAATTAATCTACTTCTCCCTCGCTGATATCCTTTCAGGATACCAGTGCTTATTTTCCCCTCCCCATATTCTGCTTTTCAAAGAACAATGGAACAAGAAAACAAAGGGACCACAGCTGCAAGACTTGCAGATAGGGACCGTAGGACAGAACTGTTCCCAAGCAGATGGCTCGCTTGGATGCACTGCACCAGCAACCGTTGAACTGCGAGAATCCCAGTGATTTAACTGGGGATAATACAAATCCCTAATGATGATAAGCAGCAGCAGCAGACAGGAATCAAGGTCTCTGGTGTTACTTCTCAACAGATTAAAAGTTTCATGTTGGGAATCTGTACATAGCAAGTCATCAGCTGTTACAGACTCAAGTTGCCAAGGCAGCAACAGTTCCCATAACTGTAGAAGGATTTCAGTAATTAGGTTTAATACATGGTATTGGAAGAAAAGATGGTACCTGCAGGCCCAACCTTTGTCAGCACAAATACAGACAAGCAGCAGATTAACAGAACAAGCAGCAGATTAACAGAAAAGGCTTTATGGAAATGTAGGCTTTGGTGAACTAAGTTCCTGCGTGTTCTTCTGGTAGAAGAAAAGATTATTGCTTGAACTTTTATACAAGTGCTAGATTTCCAAGATGAGTAAAACACTGAATTTTCTTTCTTCATGGGTTTTATCCCACCATCAGTATCCCTACAAATGTTTTTTCTCCTGGGCAACAACAAATTTTGATGTTTCTAAACCAAATGATAGCCTTCTTCCTAGAGACTCAACTGATGGATATATTCCCTCCTGGAACACCTCAGAAACATCTATATCAAGAGTTATAACCTGGGGTGGCAGGTCCCTTTCACTAGACAGAGCAGTCAAATAAACTCAATTTCCTTACTGTCTTCTAAGAGTGCAAGACAGCCACATCTGAACCCAAAACACATCCTGATTTTTCCAAGTCTTTCTAAAGCTAAAAAAAAAAAAGAAAGAAAAAAAAAAAAATCACACCTTCCTTTGATCATATTTATGGTTATGCATCCAGTCATAGTTTGAGAAGAAAAAGCATTGTTACTCCAGTTTCCTCCTCATTCTTCACTCTACTAGCCTTTGACAAAGACCTAACCTGTTACAGTTATTATCTTACTAAATGTTGATGTCCTTCACTCAGGATATTTTTGGGCAAAATATCTGGGTTTAGAACTACATAATTAAATAGTTTCTAATTCAGTTTATAGGAAGAAGTCCTTCTTGCATATCTGAGTCAACATCAAGACCCTGGTGCATGCTTTAGACAATGTAAATCATAGCTTAGAGTATTTTCTGGCTTTGGTACAACCGAATGTCAACAACTCCCTATGACCTTCAAAACAGCTCTGTAATACATACAAGTTAAATAAACCAGTGACAAAAAAAGTGTTTTACAACGAAAAAAGTTCAAATACATCCACTTAAGAATTATTCAAACAAAATACTTTACCAAGTTGGAGCCACTCTGAGAAGCATGGTGTCCAGTCTCTGAGCAGCACATGGGAGATTCAGGCACATGTGATTCATTTCCCGAATTCAACAGAAAAAAAGTGTCTCCAAGAAAACAATCATCATGCTGAGGGTGCAAAGTGCTTCTGGCAAAGGGGTTAGGGTGACAACACCACTCTTCAACTAAAGAACTCCAGTTTTCACTTGGTAGAGGAAGAACTCTGAGAAATTTCCTAAGAGGGAAGAAGAAAAAAAATATTTCAATATATTATACTCTTTTCTAACACACTAAAAGAGAGCTTAGACTCCTTACAAAAAGGGGGGAAAGTATGGCATTTTCCTAAAAGGAAGTGCTTGACTCTCCTTTCAGTCAAAGGCACCTTCTTTGGATGAATTCTAAGAAAGCAATGGCTGAGTGTTTCCTGCCAAGTTTGTGATGAAGCATTTCCCAAGGGTGAATCTCCAATGATTACACGGCAGAACTTGGCATAATCCTCTCTTGAAATGAATCACATGGCAAAAATAAAACAGTTCTATCCAGTCATGAAGAATATAACAATGGGCATTTTGCAATTATATTTATTATTACTTCTTGTAAAGTTCCCTTGCACCAAATGTTGATATAAAAACAACAGAAACAGACTGCTGCCACAGCAAGGGAGAGCACGTCCTTTGAAGCCCCTCAAAGTCAGGTACCAGACTTTGAAAAAGCTAAATCCTGACAAAAATACCACAGTATATCTTCTTTAAAAAAAAAAAAAAAAAGGATAATGCAATCTTAATTTAGATTCAGATTCAACTTTCAGAAGTCACATACAAAAAAACCCAAATCCCTTTCTCCTGGGCAGCTGTATGGACAAAGGAGGCTGCTCCAGGCAATACCAGACTTTCCTTTCGTTATCAGTGTTGTTTTTAACTTATTTTCTTTGGTTACACACAGTGCCAGAGGATTTTATAAGCCAAGGTTTGGAATCATTGCTTTAAGTTGTAAGATATACTCTTAAAGCTAGAATATATACACATGGCTATATAAATACCAGCTTGGTCATTATGAGAGAGTGGTGAATACTCTCCTGCCTACAGTTCCTATAGCCATTCTGTGGTCCCACCACATATGTTTTTATTAGGAATGTAGAAGTATTGATGGATACTGTCTGCATATTTACACTTCCTTTAATCTGTGTTTTCTAGAAAACTATTGCACTGGGAAGAAATTCAGCCCCTTTACCAAAACAATGGGCAATGGCTTTAACAGTGTGCACCTCTCCAACAGTTTTCTAGATGTACTCTTTGTTGCAGAGCTGCGCTTTCTGCTCTCTGCCTAGTTTCCTTGAATGCTTTCCTTTTGTTCTCTTATTTCTTCTGCTGTTGACTGAAACCTTTACATAGAGTTTCTTGATTCTACTCCTTACTTAAAACTTGCAAATACAACCTTGCTTGTGGTGCTACTTCGCAAATAAAGACACAGCTGCTAAGCCAACAGTTAGACACCTTCCCTTTCTTGCAGTTCACAGACCATTCCTTTCTGAAGACGCCAGTTCTTCCCATTGCAGTTTCTTGTGCCTTTTGTATTGTTGGGTGGTGAAAGTAAAATCTTTTATAAAAACTTCTTTCTTTCTAGATCGACAATACATTTTAAACTGTGCTTGCCCCACCTGCAGATGAAAGTTGAATAACTTGTCCTCTGACCCAGCTTTACCATAATTAAGAAAGATCAGCTCTTGGCACAACCCATCACTGTCTTCACTCTCTGTGGTCTTATATATTGCCTGAGATACAACCACAATTCTGCCATGGTGGGACCTTAATTCTGGTGTTGGCCTAATGACTGATTATGCATCAGCCTTGTACAATTAGTTCCAATACCTGGACTCACACTGAAAAAAAGAAGTCTTCATTCCTATGTATTGCTCTTTACAGTACAGCAACAAAGAGCTGGTATTGCTCAGCGATGTTTTTTCAAGTGTTACATACAGGGGGGAAAAAAGACAGAGATTACCTTAAGCTGCAGACTAATGCTGTCCAGTTTCATTACATTACCCTTTCTTTACTCTCACAGTCTAGAGCATCAAGATCTTGAATTCTTGCCCAACAAAAGCAGTTGCTCTAACCAATAGGAATTTCCTAAACAGACTCCTAACTTTGAGCTATACAGAAAATAGAGCATATCCACTATATTCTAGGCTTTTGCCATTCATAGGCAGGAAGCCATATTCTGGAGCACTAGAACTGGAAAAATGTAACACTAATAAAAATGCAGCTTTCCAGAAAAACAACAAAAAAAAGGAAACTTGAAGTTTACTGGATGCTGACTAAATTGAGGCTGCTAAATATAGTGATAAAACCTAGCTAACAGGGAGACTTATCTCCCCAAACTTGCTCCTAATAATAACTGAGTTTCTACTTTAAGATAGCCACCTAGGCTGCCTTCACAGTCAGAGCGCGACACACAATTCTTAGGTTGGGACCTTTAAGAGAAACTTTCTCCTTCTGAAAGTGTCTTATATAGTCAGGCTGAATCTCCTTCTGGAGATAGTTCTCTGTCTCCAAACAAAGGAAGCCTAGGTAATTAACTTAATTTTAAAAAGCTAGAAGTTAGGCACTAGTCTAAAAGAGTCCTGCCATAAGGATGTAATTCTTGGGTGGGCTTCCATGCTAAGGTAAGTATTTGACCATAGAGATCCTTGTAAGACTGGACTAAGAAAAATAATCTCTAACACCATTATTAACTAATATCCAAGAACCCAGTAATATCATCCTATCTATTGAAAATTCTGAAAACTGGAAGTAAAATGGACTTTAGACTTTTAAACATGTAACACTTCTGTTCCATCAGAGAAAAAGAGAAAGAAAAAAGATCCAACTGAATTTCTTTAACAGCAGTCTTCCTTATTTACTTACTAAAAAATCTTGGACAGCCCAGCTTGACAGATAATTGTCATGCTTAAAGCTATTTACGTAGGAAAAGTGTAATTAGAAGATTTCCCCTGCCGTCAGTTTTTCAATAGAATAATTATGTAGTACAAATTCTTAACGTTTGGACTAAGGAAAAGGTTTATTGCTTAATAGTCAATTTATGAAATTTATTTTTCACACCATTTAGCCTTTAAGAATTTCTTCATGACAGAAATAAAGCCTTAAAGAATTATTTTATATATGAGCTACACTTCGCCTAACTGGAAGGAGAGAAAGAAAAAAGAAAGTATCCCAAATTCTTTGCAGCTCTTAAATCACTTCCTCTAATGTGGGTAATGTGAGGGTAATGGAGAAGAACCAGGGAGCACAACCCTAACCTCTGAAGAGCTATCAGATTCATGGCAGGAAACAGACTAAGCCAGGGGATTTCAGTATAGAGTCCATTTTCTTGCATCAAGGAAGGATCGCTTACATTTAAACCGTTCCTAACATATTTCTCTAAACTAGTCTTTAAAATTATGGCTTCCTATGCAGTCTTTAACAGTAAAAAATAAGCTTTAGAATAGGTTTGGGTGTTGGTTTTTTTTTTCATTTTAATCTAAATTCCTCTTGCTTCAACTGAAGACTACTACTGCCACCTTCTTTGCAGCAACTTCTTACATACTGGAAGAGTCTTACATCTTCTCCACAGCCTTATCTAAACTAAATCCCATTTATTTCAATTTCTTCTCAAAGGTATAATTTTCTAGATCTCAGGTTTTTCTTATTACAGACCCTTTCCTAGTAATTCACATTTTAATAAGCTCCCCCTCACACAGTTCTGTAACTTCCCTTCAATCCCACGGCCTGTGCTGCCATTGTCATACTCACTCTCCCTGGAGAGACCAACACACGAATTCTGTAGCTAAAAGTACTGACTATGCTACTGTCTTCCTTTTGGAAGTGCTGGAACAGAAGGTGTTGGATACACTAGCAGCTCCACTCTTCTACCCTTGTCTTAATATTTTTTTAGTGGTAATATTAGAGGGGCTCAAAGGTTCCCTGCAAGGAGAAATGCCAAGCAAAGAGCTATGAACATGCCTTCTTTTTCCTTTCTCAGAAATTCTGACTGCGTCATGCTATAGGATGCACAACCAAAAGATGTAAACTCCATGCATATGAATTTGATGTGCTGAAATTCAGGAAAACGCCCACTCAGAGACGAAAATATAAAAGTGCAGTATCTTTTGAAAGCAAATGTTACTGACTAGAAATTAGAAGTTTTATTATGCTACAAATGTATCAAAGTAAGAGTTATTACTAGACATTCTGATGAGACATTTCAGAAGAGAAAGCCAGGAAATCCTCATTCAGTTATATTCAGGCCAGCCATAAATCCATATGTATGACAAGAAAGTAACAGTTTACAGAATATATCACATTTGTATTACCATTTTGAGTATTAGGAGTGACACAGATCATAAAAGGCTGCAAGTGCATCTCTAACAATTCTTACATATCGAGCTGAAGCTGTCAAAATTGTTCATCAGAAGAGCCAGAAAATGCAGCAGCTTTTTATTAAAATTTTCATTCACTCTGCAGACTTTGTACGGAACAGAGATAAGGCCAAGTCACACAGCTAAGAAACAGCTCCTGTGTTTCCCAAATTCAGCATCCCTGAACTATGTGGAGGTTGGCTTTGCTTAACAGATAGAAGGGAGCTGTGGTCAACATCCCCATTCTGAGCAGCCACTCTGTAACTACAGCACGATGACTGAAGGGAATTTGTAAGAGACTGAGCAGAACTGAAGAGGGTCCCTGAAATGCAGAGGAAGAAAGAAGTCTAGGCTCAAATTTTCAGTTTTATTCCCTTTAACATAGCAAAGATGTCAGCTACTAATAGACTCTGAGTACTTTTTAAATCAATGAAAACTATGAATGTTTGCAGTATTTCCAGGCCAAAATGTTACAGCTTTTTGTTTGCGCAGCAAAACCAGAAGCTATTTTGATGAGTGCGAAGAGATTCTGAACAAAAAGCATAGATCTCAAAGCAGAAATTTTACACATAGGGAAGTCCAGCTACAAAAGGAAATGTCTCGCTCAAAGCATAGCAGACAAGCAGGAAAAGAATCCAGATTTCCCAGCTTCCAGGGCAATGCACCACACTCCCTTTGAAAGATACTTCTACTTTCCAGCCAGAATGAAATCAAGCAGTAAATAAATAAATAGTGAAAAACTGTTTCAGGTAATTTTGCTTTTAGTCATCCGTACTGCTTCAAAAGTATTCTCATCTTTCAATTTCAAAATAAATACCTCTTAGCTGTCTCTCTAAGTACACAAAATAACATGAATACCAATCACTATGGCATTTATTGCTATAAATACAAGACACTGCAGTACTCACCGGTCTTTTTCTATGATGTCACCACAGGACTGACAGTAAAAGACGTAATTCTTCTGGGGTTTCATGCTTTCCCTCAAAGTAAAACCCAAATCTATAGATAGAAGAAGACATATTAATCTTCAAAATTGTGTAAAATTTTCAGTCACTTGTACAGAAAAATCCTGCCAAATACCTCAAACCAAAAAAGATAAGAATCTAATAAACAAAGCAAAATGCTGACATTTTAAACGCAACCTTAATTTATTTACCTGTAGAAGAAAGTACCTAGATTTAGGAAAAACTTGCCATCTCCACCTCATGCCCCATATTGCTGAGCAGGAACTGTATGCATGAATCATTATTTTAAAGGTGCAAATCCTCTCCGAAGGGGGAGCTGAGAGATTGATATCATTACAGAGATTGTATAAATTAAAATTCAATGCCACTCTTTTGTAATGATATTTCTGCTAATCAGTGTCTCTGCAATAGGAGGGTATATCCCAATATGTAACACAAAATAGTCGGGGTGGGGGGGGAAAAGGCACTAGTTTTAAATTTTCAGGCAGGTAAAATACCAGCCACTGTGGTATCACTCAAGGAATAGATAGTGAGCAATACCCTCTGCAGGCCAGCAAAGCAAAAACGGTCTCACAAAAGTCAGCTCAGACAACTTTTCCAAATTAAAAAGGCAGCTATAAAAGCCTCCACAAATTAGCAAATAACATTAGGTGGAAGAAAAGTAAAACTGTAAGCCTAGCTCTATGTATGAATATGTTTTGCATTGCCCACTTTCTCAGACTTAAGAATCAAAATATATTCTCAGCACTGGCATTCGGTATTTAAGATTTAGGTTGCAACCACAAACGAAAAGTACTTTAAGAGGTTCCAGAATTTCATATAAGAGACAACTAGTTTTGCATACTAATATAAAACATCAGAGGCTAACTAAGGTTATCCAATATATACATCGATTACCATCTGGTTCACATGCACGTTTTTCACTGGTACAACTTTCAAAGGTGGATTTTTAAAACTTCATATTTCATCTTTTGAAGCATGCCTCATTAATAAGACACTAAATAATTTTTGTTACAATTGAATTGTCAAAGCACATGCATAATTACAGATTAACGTACAGAAGCAAGCTCAGCATAACATAAAATCAACAGAGTATTCCAGTGTGTTTCTGCTGCTGAAACCATTATTGTACATCACATACTTTAAAACCACAGAATGACAATTTTGTGCTATTTCATGTATCTTTCTGTGTCACATCCTATTAAATGTGCTTGGATGAGCTTGGATGCTAGAATGAAAGAAAGCACCAGCTATACCACCATGCTTCCTATTTATGCAATCACATCCTAGACCTGAATTAGCATCATGTAAATAAAAAAGGTAACTTTGCAGATGTCACCTGTAACATTAACCTCTGCAAACTGAGGCTGTGAGAACAAGCAGCCCCAACACAAAATTGTAATCCTTTATGATGAAGCGGTTGGTGACAACCTTAGTGCTATATCCTGGATGAATCACATTACTGCATTTTCAGCTACCAAACATGAAACAGGAGGGTAAGAAAATAATTTTGAAGTAATATGGGAAAGGCACGGGGGAGAAACTGAGAGTTCTCAAACTCCTACACGAAAACACTCAGCAACCGTGTTTCCCTTCCATTACGCCACTTTTTGCACTTTTGATTTTTAAACCCGACAATTTCATTAAATTTTATCAGTTCCTGTTTAAATCTTCAATTCAGAGCTAAGGAGAGGCTTTTAGAAAAAGCAA